TTTCTAAAGAAACTGTGGTGCTGCGTTGGTGGGGGTAACAAGGTAATTTGGTAATATCAACTAAGTTGAAATTGTAAATTGGCCACCGTAAAGAGTTAAAAAGCTGACGTTTCGAGCGTTAGCCCTTCGTCAGAGCGAATGGAGGAATTGTGGGTTGTGTGTGGGTTTATATGCAGAAAGTGAAGCTACGCTATTGGTGGGGGCATGGTGACGAGAAAAACACGAGTAAATTAGTAGAATGAAAAGCGTTCGTTGATACCTGTGGGATTAAGAGTGCTGATTTGGAAGATAAACTTTTGTTCGAGAGTTTTGCGGCTTTCCGAGCTACCTAAATGTAAGGAAAGACCGCAGATTGCCATATGTTGTTGCTTAGAATGATTAGGTAGATTAAAGTGTCTAGCGATTGGTTTTGATGCGTCCATGTCATTCCTTTCTACGTCGCGAAGGTGTTCTCGGAATCGGTCATCTAGTAGTCTTCCTGTTTCGCCGATGTAGAGCTTTTTGCAATAAGTGCAAGTTATGCAATAGATGACATTAGCTGAGGTGCACGTGAAGTGATCAGTGACCTTAATGGGTCGTTTGGGTCCCGATATTTTTAAATAACTTTGAAAGATCCGGCCGGACTTTTAGATATTGTGTCTGGACACTTAAAATTGAAAATTCATGTGGAAAGATCCATCATCAACTATTACACTACTTATAGATTGTACTAAAGTGTGTGATTGACTATACAAATGTTTATTGCCTCAGTTACAATTCTCCTGTGAGGGGTTACGGTGGAACTGCCTTTCTCCAGGGTAGGGTAGGGGTTCTTCTTGCTCTCCCTATTACACAACACTCAGAAAATCATCAGAGCAGCAAGTACAATTGAACCAACTGTGCAGGCGACAACCTTGGCCGTCGAGGAACCTAAAGACAAAAGTCAAGGAGAGAAGAGACATTTGGCTGAGTTCAACCTCGTTCCCAGGGTTTTTTACTCATTTTGGGGCATGGAAAAGCCCTGGGAACTAGGTTGAGCTGAGCTTATTCCAAGAGAGATGGCGTTTACTGTTAACCTAGCTTTTAAAAGCCCAATAGGGATTTCACCTGAGGGACCTGTCATTATTAGACAACTGAAGGAGGGAGGGGAGGAGAGGGAGGTCGCATAGCATTCCAGGGGAACGGAAGGGGGATTAGCCGCTGCTAACAGAGTATAAAGGAGGGGCTATAGAAAATTGTCAGTGTGGGGGGGGGGGCATAAGAACACTGCAGAGCATTGCGGGGGAGGGGGGACGATGGGAGTCTGTGAATTAAGTGGCAACAAACCGAAATCCTCCGTTCCCCCTACTCACGCAGTAAATAATGACGGGCCCCTGAAGTCAGTTAGACTTACCTGTAGAGGTTGCCAGAAACGTGGCCTTAAAACCTTTGTAATTTGAAGCTGACTTGTCAGATCTGAAAATCACTCTCATGTAGGATCCGCTTGACTCAATGTCCTTTGGTTTTTCTTTACCGCAGAATCTTCCTTTTTTCGCACTGTTACTTTCTCTTCCATCACGGATTTCTACATAATCTTCAGTACATGGCTGGCCAAAGCTGGGTTCCAATTCAAACCTGTCAAAGCTGAGTTTGACGATTTTTCCATCTGGTACAGTGATTAGCCAATCGCAGCTCATAGCTGGGGGGTAAACTGAATTCTTCTCTGGACTTTTAAGAGTTCCATTTGAACCAGTTAACATCAGGTTATTATTGTTGACGTTTCCTCGGTAACACAATTCCTTAGAATAGGCATCAGGAGCTGGGAAAAAGGGATAAACAATGAGTTAACTCATCGTAAGACTGAAATTCGTTATCGTTAATGTTAACATTTCTGTGATCGTTACCGTTATCGTTGTTGTTATTATTGTTATCGTTATCATTATCGTTACTATTATCGTACTTGTTATCGATACTGTTCTCGATACCGTTATCGTTACTGTAACCCTTACTGTTATCATTGTTGTCATCGTTACCGTTATCGTTACTGTCATCGTTACTGTCATCGTTACTACACTGTTATAGTTACTATAATGGTTTCTGTCATCGTTACTGTTACCGTTACAGTTACTGTTATCGTTATAGTTAGTGTTATCGTTATAGTTAATGGTATCGTTATAGTTATTTTTCTCGTTACCGTTATCGTTAATGTCATCGTTACTATAATGGTTTCTGTTATCGTTACTGTTATCGTTATAGTTAATGTTTTCGTTATAGTTATTTTTCTCGTTACCGTTATCGTTACTGTAATCGTTACTGTTATAAATTTTTCTTAGCATTGCTTAGAGTTGCTTTTAAACAAAATGTAGTACGCACTTGCATTCTTTGAAAACCCAAAATTCCTTGACCAAAACAAATAAAAACAACACAAAAAAAAAATAAACAAACAAAAATATGACAAACATTGCTTTAAATTGAAAAAGATCTCGTGATATAGAAATGACAGCATGAGATCAAACACCCATTTAAGTTATCATCAAACGGAAACGATAAGAACATAAACTCTTGAGAGACATAAGCGACAAATTACTTACAAGCGTCCAAAGAAAGGTAACGGGCCTTGAAGCCTTTTGAGGCAAGGCGACCTAACTGATTAAGCCTAAAGGCGGCAAACGAGACCCGCATATAATTTCCAGTGGAGTAAACATCGTATATGTTCCCCCAGATCGGCTTGTTCAATGCACAGAACATAGCAAGCTCTTTGCTATCTTTCAGCCGCCCATCTCGGATCCGCACATAATCTGTTGAGTCCATTTCTTGACAAATAGCATCTGGTTCAATTTTTACTCCTAGATTAAAATCTTCAAATGTCAACTTCACTCTTCGACCAGCGGGAACAGAGATCACCCAAGTGCACTGCGCAGCCATCGGGTAAAGAACAGGGTAATCTGGAGTAAAGAATGTGCCCGACAACCCGCCAAGCTCGAGTACTTTATCTAGGCTATCCGTCCTACGACAAATACCAGCGGCTTCCTCTGGATGAAATAAAAACGACAGAGACATTAACCACCAGTCCAGGGATAATGTTCGGTACTGAATCTTTGACTAACCTCGAACTCCATTCTAGGATATATGGTGTGAGTTAATTGTAAAGATAATGCTGCATTTATACAGCACATTATCCATATGAATATGCTTCAAAGCGCTTTATAACACTTTGCGTGGGGCTTCACTAAGCAGTTTTCAACTTTTGAAAGGAAAATTTACAGATGCTGCCAATTCAAGAATTTTTTTCAAATGGAAACAAGGCCAGTTCAGCACCATAAACTACATTCCCTATCCTATACTGGAAGTGCGTGCGTTCTTCAATTTTTAACGTTCCCGGCTAACCAGTACAGAGGAAATACATGGAGACGGAGCTTACAGTTTATTGTCCTGATCCGTGAAGACTAGGACGTCTAAATCATTCGCAGATGTCATACCAAAGACGTCACATAACTCTTAACCATCTGCACGACATTCTGGCGCTCAAACACCTGGGCTAACTTGGCAGCGGTTGTTCATACATAAGTTTGTATCATTTCTTGTCTTTCAAGCTTTCCTTTTCTTTCCCTTCTTTTTTCTTTTCTTTCCCCTTCCTTTTTTTCTCCCTTTTTTCTGTTTGACCTCTTTTTTTGTTCCGATTGTATGAGCATAAGACTAAAGCTAACTTCATTAACAAAGTGAGTGGTGATTGACTTGCCTTCCATAACGGCCGAAATGTTTAAACTAAATCCCTTGTCGGAATAACGTCCATCTGACTGGAACTTGACATAAAGAAGCCGTCCAGTGGAATAAACAACATTGGGAGATACTGCTCCACAGTATGATCCAAGAAGATCTGACAAATTAGTGCTGTTACCATCATAGAACTCCAGTTTGTCATTACAAATGAGAAAAGCCGTTTTAGCTTCTTCTAACTGGAAGCTATTAAAAGTGACTTTCAATATAAAACCAACGGATTGAGTATCACTGGCAACTTCAATTAACCAAGTACATGTCGAGTTGTTACTGTAATTTGCAGGCTAGTGGGGACTCGTGATAGTTGTGTTGTGCCATCTAGAGGCAGTGACTCTTTGAGTAACATCGGAACAACCTTGAAAAAAGTTACAACTTTTTAAAATTAACATTGCGCAGAAGCATTACAAATCGACATTTCGTGTCTTTAAACTTAAAAAAAATTGCCCTAAACTTCCTTCAAAAAGCAAAGTTCGCTACTGTGACACCTTCCTGACTTGTTCAAGTGTTTCCACATTTAAGCAGCTATAAAAAGATAATATCAAAAATTTTCTGAAGGATTATCTGACTATCAGAAAGAAATGTTCCAACTTACTGTTGCTCTGCGTAAACGAACCCGATGAGATCAAGGAGATCGTCAATAAAACGTAAACTGCAGAGAAAAAAAAAAACAGAAACCGAAAATATCGTGAGGGTCAAACCTCAAGTCATTTACTGCAGAAAAATAAAACTAACATAGACAGTCAAAGACTGCATTTGGCTGCTGTTATAGCACAATTTTTGTAGCATTGAAAAGAACTGGAGGTTGTGTAATGACGCTAGCAGGTAGCGTTGCAGAATATTTGTCTCAAGTGCAAAACTGAAAACCTGCCGCATCCCACATATTTATGAGTACCCTGTTCCTCAAGAGGAAGATGATTCAAGAATGCATTGTCTGCACTGATGATACTTACCTGACGCGGGTTAGGGTCTCATAGCATGTAGTTCTCTGCATTATGGGACTCGTTACCCAACAGCAGTCCTTGCACACCCCGACTGTTCAGGTGGCCCGTTAGGCGGGGAGCGCTTCCGGGGGGCCAGGTTCAATTCCTGGGCGATTTTGGCGTACTGGTGTACCCTCCTTCAGGCGTTACTCGGCGGAACCATTGCACTCCGGTTCCGTTAAGTATATATGTCGTCCGGCCGTTGCAGCACTGACCATTGCACTAATGGGTCCGTGG